ACTTCAAATGGATGTTGAATGGAGGTTGAATGCATCCATATTCCACGTACTAAACGACCTCTCTTTTACGTGAGCTGCTTTTCCGCAGCTTTTTTCTTTTCCTTTAGAATACTTTGTAAAACGAGATTGTTTGGGTTTCGAGCAGTATGCATCCTATTCTGCTTTAACGGTGAGGGAATCTTCGGAAGAGCGGTTCTGATCCCATTACTCGTTATTTAAAGAAAGTTATAGTTATTTGAATATGTATTTAAGCTTCAATAGTACAAATTATTCATATTATACAATATTGTTTAAACGGGGCAGTGTGGTTAGGAAGAACCTTGCAAGGAGCGCGGTAGGCAAGATCAGCGCTACGTTTGCCCCAGTCTTTGCTACTGATCGAGCACTGAGCTATTGGCTCAATAGCATCGGCAAGCTGCAAAGTTCGACCTCATCATGGACCTCCAGTCACTTTCGATGAGGACCCCTTGCGCTACGAATAGGAAGTGCATCCGGACGCTATTAGCAGGAAACTGTAGCAAACATCTGGGCGCAGCCTACGCTCCATGAGTCGACACCTGAATGGAAGGGGCTGTAGCAGAATGAAGCCTCGATGGAAACAGCATGCATGGACTGACCATGACCGAGAAGCACGCCTGACCATCTGCAGAAGTTTCATTCTGCGACCGTATAGACAGACATTCCCTAGTTGGTCACCAGTGCAGATGAGTCATGAGTCCACCACGATAACAACACGCGGCACGCCTGGTGGCTACCTCGCAGCCTGGACCCACCATCTCAACCAAAAGCCCGAGCTCTTTCATCAGAGGATATTACCCCCGGTTCGTTGGATTCGCTGGGTATCCCGTTTTGGGAACCATTTCACTTTATGCAGACAAGCATTGCAAAGGCCGCAGCAGTGCGGGAGAACGGTTCGAAACGTCTCAAAATCTCCTTTCTCCGAAGGACCGCCCGAAATCACATTGCAAAGATAACTCGCCACGTTTCGAGGGAAACTGGCTGGACCACGACACCACATCTATCGTATAGCCCTGACATTGCTCCATCGTACTATCACCTCCCCAGCTCCCTGAAGCAGCAGCTAGGAGAGAAAAAGTCAGTAAATACAACCACCCCAAAACGACCTCTCCGAGCTTTTCATCTCACAGCTTCTGGGAGGAATGCATCCATTCGTTCCCTAGCAAATGGGTGCATATCAGTGATTATGATGGTGGTTATTTTTGATCAATTGTTTTTTAGGAAAGATAAAACTTGAAGAAAATCAAAGTGTTGAAAA